TGAATGATGTTCCATGGAGTGCAGATGATGCAGAATACCGAGATGAAGATTGTGGCGCGAAAGATGTTGATGTACTTTGGTGCCATCCCAGTAACGTCATTTGAAAATGGATAGGTGCCAGCCGCAACCTGATTTCCGATAGTGGCCAGGATGAAGCTTGCGGACACGAAGAACTTGGCAGCGCGTGAATCAAATTTGGCAATTACAGCTGGCATATACCTAAGAGCCTAGTTAATTCATGTAGCCCAGCTGAGAGAAACGGATAGACGTACCATTCGAATTCGCCCCACAAATAGGAATGAGCCGATGTCACGAAGATTGGCGTCAAGGCGCCCAGAGTTCCTATGATTGGAAGAGCAAGAAATTGATGGGGGCCTTTGAGACGATTCTTTGAAAAGCGACCAAAGTCTGGCATGTTTACTGCAAGGCTGCTGAACAGACCAATGATGACGTTGAGGCCGGTCAACGCTGAGTAGGCCGTGTTCATGTAAGTGGAAGTGACTTTGTACTTGCCGGTGACCAGCTCTCCGCCCCTAAATAACGACTTGGTTAGTAGGAAACGCGCTTAGAAAAGACCAGAATAACGTACCCCTTGGTCACAATCACAGCCCAAAGAAATAAGGCGAAGAAAGTAGGCGGAACTATAGCCCCTTTGACCCAAAACAGAACTCTGAGCTTAGAGATGGGCATTAAAGCGAGTGCAGTTTGCAGAAACCAGTACAGAAAGACGCAAAGCAAGCCAGCAGCTAGTATAGAGTCAGTTGAGTGCTTCAGACGATGGTTGCGAGCTTGATGATAATGGCATTACGTATGACGGAGGGGTTGAAAGGGAGTGAAGAATGAAGTATAGTAAAGGGTAACTTACAGTCAATGCCAGCGCTCAAGGGAAGACGGTTCGGGAAGTTGATGAAGCTAGGCCATATTGCTTCAAGACAGCGCTGCAGAAAGTTCCCCGCTTGTACAGTGAGGATCGCAGTCCACATAAGAGCAACAAAAGCTAGGAAGGGGTGAGTAGTGAGATCATGTAACGGTAAAGGGGAACAAACCGCGAATGCAGATAGCAGGGAAAGAACCGTACATGCCAAACACGCTCCTGATGATGACAGGGAAGGGCACATGGTACGTTGCGCCCATCTTGCCAGTGAGGGTTATAACAACGCTGCAGATGGCGAATCCAAAGAAGACAATTGGAATCGTTTCGCGTGCCGTAAACCCCAGGGCCATGACAGAGCTGACTGTAGAGGCGAGGGGAGGCGCGAGCATGTCTGAACACCAGTATGCCTGTTGTGAACTATGAGCTTCCCACTATCAAATTTGCTTGGGTTGCACTTACCCAGTAATCAACCGCACCCCATGTTCTCTCTTCAAAGGGAATTGGGTCCAGGTCTGTAAAGGTCAGATCAGTTGATAGAGGAACTCCACTGTGCAGCACGACATACCTTTGTTTGACCAACGAGATCCATACTTCCCACTTCCAGCCGGCACCCTCAGACGAAAATGAGGCGCAAGCTTTGACTTGAGGACAGACATTAGTTAATAGCCTTGCGACAATTATTTGAGTATTGCCAAATGGGCTATAGACTCGAAAGATGTAGTGGGAACGGAAACTGGGTGCCTCGCAACTACATATACTACACCCAGGTCGTCAACACTACGAACTTGCCTACCTTCATTTATCTGAAGGTTAGAGCGAAGATGTTGTTATCATCCAACTCGATGAGATAGGAGCCTACGGCGAGCCATGGCCGCAACGCCGTATCATGCGCTTGCACTTGTGCGAACATGCGGGATAGCTGCATCGAATAGCCGACGTGAGTAGGCGACGGAGGCTGCAGATGCACGAAGAAGGCTTGACGGCCAAGATGGAACCCAGGATGTGGTGTGCAGTGCTCTGGCCTGGCTTGTTGTTGAGTGGGGACCGAAACGACGCGCCATTTGACCATCGCCCGATCCGGTTTAGTCCGAACGTCCCCCAGATAAAGACGGCCGCCGCTCGCGCAGCCTCCGCGCGCCGGCCGCAGGCCCGCTCCACCAGCCGGCGGCGAGCTCCACGACTGGAGCTCTATCAGATAGTCGAGTATAGCCGAATGTAAAGTTACAGTTTCTTTTTCTATGCTCGAGTCTCTCTCATTCCCACCTGAGCTGGGCCCACACCTTTTCCTCCGTGAACTTCTAACAGCAAACGTCTTCGGGCGCTTCCTCCCGGTCAAGCTGCTACTCGGATCATCATGTCTACCTTCAAAGACACCCCGCTTGTACTTTCCATCGATGCGAAACCATACACATTCTCTTTCCCCCTCAAGCGCACTGCTCTCCTGGTCATCGATATGCAGAGAGACTTCCTGCTCGCCAAAGGTTTTGGTGAGATCCAGGGCGGAGATCTCAGGGCCGTACAGGCTTCGATAGCTCCTACCAAAAAGCTTCTAAACGCCTGTAGGGCTGCGGGAATGGCGATTGTTCATACTCGAGAGGGCCATGTTCCTGATCTTTCAGACTGTCCCTCCTCAAAGCTCGTCAGACAAGCAGCTGCGCCCGAGAACACCCAGCACAATCTGGTTATTGGAGACAAGGGTGAGCTTGGCCGATTGCTGACACGGGGAGAATATGGACACGATATCGTAGACGAACTGAAGCCATTCCCTGGGGAGGTTGTCATTGACAAGCCTGGCAAAGGTTCCTTCTGGAACACTACCATCCTGCACAAGCTAAAAGCTCGAGCGATCACCCATATCATTGTGTCTGGTGTTACCACCGAGTGCTGCTTTGCAACATCAATTCGGGAGGCGAACGATCGCGGATTCGAATGCTGTAAGTTTCATGGCTTCGAGGGGTGTCAGTCACTAACGTTGCGCAGGTGGTATCGAAGAAGCTACCAGCGGCTACAACGACGTAAACTTCAAGAAGGCCACGCTTGATCAGATTCACTGGTCTCAAGGTCTGTTCGGCTTCATAGCGAACCTGCAGCCACTCTTGGCTGTCCTCGACCCTCTTTCTGCCATAGCCAACCCTTCTAGCAATACACCACCATCAACTCCGCCAGTGTTCGATGGGGACCTCACATTTTCCAGTCTACAAGGAGCCTACAGGAGTGGCTTGTCACCCATGGCAATGGTCGAATCGTTGTACGACAAGATTGAGGCCTATCAGAAGGTCGATCCTGCTGTGTGGATTCACCTAGAGTCTAGGGACAGTGCCTTGGAAGCCGCAAAGAGACTCGCTGCCTCATACCATGATAGAAATGCACTCCCTCCGCTGTTTGGCGTCCCGTTCAGCGTCAAGGACAGTATCGACATTGCTGGTTTGCCCACAACAACGGCATGTCCACCACTAGCTCACGTACCGTCTGCCTCGGCAGTCGTCTACGACAAAGTGATCTCTGTAGGGGCTCTATTTATAGGCAAGACCAACCTCGACCAACTCGCCACCGGCCTCACGGGGTGCCGCAGCCCATACGGCATCCCACACTCGGTCTACCACAGAGACTACATCAGTGGCGGATCCAGTAGCGGTAACGCGGTCAGCATCGGCGCAAACCTGGTCTCCTTTTCACTCGCCACTGATACCGCTGGCTCGGGGCGCGTACCTCCCGGTTTCAACGGCGTCGTCGGATACAAGCCCACCAGAGGCACCGTTTCTTTCCGCGGTGTGACACCCGCTTGTTTATCTCTGGACTGCATAGCTCTCACCACAAAGACTGTCGCCGATGCACGAAGCCTCTGGCAAATACTCGAAGACCACGACCCATTAGACCCATACTCGAAACCAGCAATAGCTTTCGAGCGACACATCAACAGCATCGGGCCGCGAGCCAAAACATTCAAATTCGGCATCCCACCCCCTGAAGTTCTCTCTGTCTGCTCGTTACCAGCACGCAGACAGTTTAACGAGAGTATCGCGAGACTGCAGAAACTGGGGGGCATACTGACTCCTATAGACTGGTCGCCGTTTCAAAAAGCAGGTCAACTCCTCTATGACGGTACGTTCGTCTCCGAGCGTTTCGCCTCGCTCCCAGACGACTTCCTCGCGAAAAACCGCTCAGTACTCCACCCGGTCATCGTCGAGATCATGGACGCAGTCGTCGCGCGACAAAGTACGGCCGTGCAGGCGTACCGCGACCTCCAAGCAAAGCAGCTGTATACACGGCAGGCTGAGCAGGTGTTCGCGTACTCTTCAAAAGGTGTAGACGTTATAGTTGTACCTACCGCACCCACGCATTGGACGATCGAGGAAGTGCTCGCCGAACCCATCAAGACCAACAGCCACCTGGGCGAATTCACGCATTTTGGAAATGTGCTGGATCTCTGCGCGGTTGCTGTGCCGGCGGGCACGTATCCTGTTTCAGAGCTCAGCGGTAAGGAGGGCGATGAAGGACGGTTACCGTTCAGCGTGACGTTCCTGAGTGGGTCGAGGCTGGATGCAGAGATGCTGGAAACTGCGCGGCGGTTTGAGGAGAGCGATGGTGCATGGAATACATAGCGTGGCAGAACAACGGGGCTTTATAGTGTAGAACGTTCAAGGCATTGCCCAGCGTGGCAAATACATCGGGATTCGTAGTGCAAGACTCGATCTTTGGCTTTTGGTACAAGAAGTCCGGTACATACAAGAGGACTGCCCTAACTATCAACAAATACGATCATAACTGCAACCTAAAGCATTGCTACCTGTAACCAGATCCTCTCTTCTAGTAGCTTCATTCAAGACAAAGCTTAGTGTAGTAGGGAATAGAGGGTTTTGCAAGCGCACAATGCCTACGTCTTTACCTAGCGCAGTGCTTCTAGCAGAGTTTTGCAAGATAAGGCATGTCCCTTAATAGTGTTCTGGAATACTCTACACGATTGAGAGGTTGCGAATAGGAACTAATTCCTTACTGACAGTCTATCCGAGCTGTACCATGAGGCGTAGTCACTTCTTAAGCTCTATCTTTGCCAAAACATTCCACGTAAGCCCTATTCTACACTCACAATCACTAGAAGTAAAAAAGAACATGAATGAAAAAAAATTGGACGTGCTGGGAATTGAACCCAGGACCATTCACAAATTCGCAAACATAATTGATATGCGAAGCGAAGATCATACCCCTAGACCACACGCCCTTGTTTGAATGATATCATAATTATCGTAGAGCTAGTATATAACTACCGGAAAATGGAATTTCAGAAGGCAAATGTAAGAACTCTTTTCTCGCACACAGAATTTTACTCAACTGCGGGGGAGTTTGGTTCGCACTAGCTTAGGGCGGTTTTGGGGTATTATATTATGTAACAGCTTTTTAGTACTTTTCGCGTTGGTCAGGCCTAAAATAGCGAAGACTTCGTCGCACGGTCCCTCCAAATGCTTGACTTATGATTGGATAAGATTGCATGTCTACAGCCAGGCTGAAAGCCCAGATCACTTGGCCTATTCTCAGAATTGGTTAACGCCACCGGACGTGCTTCCTATTTCAGACTCAAGTTTCCAACTTTCGGAATCCGAGAAGCAGCCGCGTGCGTGAATCATTGGCTAGTATTAAATTTCATTTGGAATGCCCATGCAGCTTGTGATGACTCGATATTGTAATGTAACGTAGCTGGTGCTGCTTGAGCAGCGTGCGGCGAGATCTTCTTGGCCAGCGGGCTTTCAATCGACTTCCTGCTTTCGAGATTCGGTTACCAGTGCATTCCCTTCCGTTTTGGAGATCCGGACTTCCACAAGGCGCAAGTACCTACAAAGGTACGTTATGACTTATGAGCTAGTTATCCACTAACTGAATTAGGAATATGCGTTGCAGCTACTGGTTCCGACTCCCGAATCTCAAGAGACAATCTGTGGTTGCCTTTTGCTGCGCGCGCCTATGTCGAAACCTCTATAGCGATCCAAAATAATCATGTTGTTCGAAATTGTACGGAGTATGGGATAGGCAATCATGAAAACTCGTGCAGCCGTCTCCTCTTGCGTGGCTGTATTTCCTGCGTGGCTGTAACGACGGCGTGGTTCGCCGCATGTGCACGCCGGGCTAGCGACCGCCGCCGCGAGCGCTGCCGAGGGCAGCTAAGACTCCGGGCGGCGTGCGGTCGCCATGTTTGAGGTGGAGTCCCAAGCTCTTGGGTTGCGCCTTTTCGCGGGCAGGCAGAGCAATAGATCTTTACCAGCTATCCGTGATTGATATTCAAGGGCTACCTCTGAAAAATATCAGAATCTGTCGGTACACAATTATGTGTTGCTGTCACTCTTCCTTCGCGAGCGCGCTAGTCTCTTTGGGCCTAGCACCATCTTGGCGGCCACACACATTATGTGGAGAGATCTGTACCATAGTAGCTCGATATAGCTATCAATACGATAGGATTCAGATCTCTGTCACCCGTGCTAGTACGCAATTCCTTCCAACAGAATCACTATAACCTGGTTAGGTGTGCGGGTGAAGTACTACTCCGGTATGGAGAACACCGTATATGAAGACATGTCTTTTTTCTTTGTCCAGAGTCCATGACAAGCCTCTACGATAGCTTCGTTATGCTATCGAACTCTCCGCATAGCTTGTGTATTGCGGCATGCTGGCAGGTTGCTGGATAGGGTTAGCCACACCAGTTATATCAGCCTCGGTCCTGGCCCCGTGAAAACCGCCAGCGGAAAGTTGCTCTATCCCCGCAAACCTTTTTACACTACCTTACCTTTGCGCATCGTGACTAGGCTCTTGGTAGAGTATGACTTGCTGCCTTTTTACAATATATTCTGTCAGCGCATGCCTATCTAGCGTCTTTATTTTCTAAAGCAACCAATATCTACATTTCCTTTTAAGCATGATAACTCTGCGACAGGAGCGGGACAGAAATAACATCTAAATACGCTCTGTAACAGCGCTGCATAAGAGGTAAGTTCTAAGCTTGTCCCCGCCACCCTCTACTAATAATACTTAGCAGTCTACCGTATGCCGTATCATGCTGCGGAACTACCACTGCCTTCTTAATCAACCCCCTAATAACCATTAGACCTACATTATGTGGCTCTGGTCGAGCGCCAAGGTCGCGTTGCCTATTAGATGCAATTGTCTCTTTTCTAGTTCTTCCACGAGCGCGTTGTATATGTGATGTTATAGGAGTCGCGATGGATAGAGCGGCGAGAAGGCCACGGCCGTTAGAACACACCGACAAAGTACAAGAAAGCCTATTAGCACATAAACATCTCATTTCTTTCGGCATCACGTAGCACACCACTATGTGCGTATCAATCGACGAGGTTTCGCTGATGAGTCCGCCATGTCTGCAGCAGCATCCAAGGTTTCCAGGGACCAGGGTCAATTTCCCGGTTCTACCCTGCGCATTACCGCTGGTCTCATTCCTACTTCGACCTCAGCTTCGGACTCATCTCAACACAAATTCTGAGACGGTAGCTACAGGGATTTCCAGTGGAGAGCTTGTCCAGCTGCTAAGGGAAGCACAGAAATGGCATGCCAGCCGCAGCAGTACCCACCAGCCACTAGCCCCGGACTCTGGCTCCACGTTCTTCGAGCGCTAGAGGACAGGAGCAACTACTTACCTGCTTCCGATTCCGTCACGACATTGCGTCGACCAGGCTCCAGCATATCACTAGTGTTCCAGTCCGCAGCAACACCGCCCAGCAAGCGTTGAGGAGCTGTGCTACGACGCACAGAAGAGACCAACTGCTTAGGGTCCCTGGCCAGTACCATGCCAAATGTCCTTAGACGACAGCACCTGGGCCAACCACTAGAAAGCTCGAAATAGACCAACCTTGGTGCCGCAATGACAAAGTGCAGATAGGGGCTATTTCTGGATGAGCCCGAGAGCCGTGGAGGGCATAGCTATTCTAAAACAATGGTTCTTCCCCCTAATGATCCGGGTCACTGAGGCTGAGTCCAGTGACTGGTGCGAAGTCCTGTGTCCGGGCGTCTAAAGAGACCCAACCACATGCCCACAGATTAAATGGAATGACGGGGGGCTTGGACACGAAACATACAGGAGGAGCGGCGGCGGCTGCGCAAGGCAGACAGGTCGAGGCGTTGAGAGGGTGCTCAGTCTATAAGAAGGGCGTGCCCTTACACAGAACTCTCTCACACGCAAGTTTTCAGATATCTCAAGCACGAAGAGCAACGACCCGTACATCGGTTATCTCTCCACTTTCCTCACTATAGCGACTCGATTTCCTAGCCCCTAGGATGTCAAGTTCTCGGCCGTTGCGCATAGCCCTCAGGCTGATACCCATCATGACGGTCATCGTCCGTGTAAGATCTGCACATATCCCGTAACTTGATCTCGCTGACGACTTATGTAAAGCGGAGCGAGAACTCAAGTTAAACTTGGATAACTATGATTCCAAGTCTGAGTGCAACTCGGACTAAGACTACTCTTTATGGGCCGAACTTGACGACGAACTTGACGAAGTCGGTCTCCCTCCAACTGTTGTTAACCGTGGTGCATCTGCCTTAGGGGACCGGAAGCGAATTGCGCCAGCCACCAAACGGCACCATCGCCCTGCGGTGGTGAGCAAGTGTCAGAGAAGGCGAATTGCATCCCTATCGCCGGACCGCTACTACGCTAAACTACGCTACGTACCAGAACAAAAGTAGGAGATTAAAAATCTATTGGATGTTTACCTTATGCCCGATGGCTCAACAAGGTATCTCTTGGAATGGTTGCCAACAACTGTAGCCGATCATGAACTCGATGAATCGGTACGAGCGCAAGCTGAAGCAATGTTTGAGAAGAAGTATGGGGTTGGGTGCACCCACAGGTCAGAATCTTTGTAGCGTATGGATTTGGGCAGCCATAGGGGGTGAGACCTTACTTTGGCACTTTTTTTGTCAGCCAAAACCGAAGCTTTAGGTCCTGGCGCTGCAGGCCGTTCTCTATCGCGTTTTTCACGTCCAGCGGGACTCTCAACGCTCTTTCTTGGAGGATTATGGTATAAGTAACTAATTAGTTTCCAACATGTTTTCTTATTGTTTGCCATTGTAGCTGGTTCCGTCAAACGTGGGTGAAATGAACACTAAGTGGCTAGTCACTTCAGGCGCTGCGCCACCGGTCTTTTCTACGTCTCCTTGCAAGCTCAAATATAATATCAATTCTGCTCATAGCGTCTAATGCAACGCCACACAGTCTATCACTTAACGTCCCTCCCTGGAGGTCGAAAACCCCCCCGCTTAGAAAAATGTGACGGGTACTTTGACTTGCAACTGCTAAAGCTCAGCCTACGTACTAACATCTGATACAGTTCTCCGTAGGTCTCCTGCTGCCGCTAATGGCAGTTACACCTCTATATGCTGCAAAGCAGACTCGTAGTGACCAAGGCATGCTGCAGCAGTAGGATGCTGTACACCAAGTACTTTGACGTACCCTTCGTATGCTCGCTGATACAGACTAACTGCAGCAGAGTAATGCTGCTCCTGATGAGAGAAGAAGGCTAGACGGTATACGCTGGTGAGTGTGTCTGGGTGCTCTCGCCCAAGCACCTTCTCTGATCCTTCCAGATCTCGTCGATGCATCGCCTCGGCCTCGTCGTACTTTCCCTGCCTCTCCAGCAAGCTGGCTGACGCTGACGAGCGTGTCCGGGTGCTCTCGCCCAAGCACCTTCTCTGATCCTTCCAGATCTCGTCGATGCATCGCCTCGGCCTCGTCGTACTTTCCCTGCCTCTCTAGCACCGTCCCAAGCTAGCTGACGCTGGTGAGCGTGTCGGGGTGCTCTTGCCCAAGTACCTTCTTCCTAATGTCTAACGACAACCGAAGATATCCCTCCGCTGCTGCATACTCTCCCCCCAGAAGCAGATACCATCCCGCGCTTAAACTGCATTTCGCTTGCTTCTTTAACCCTTCTTTGTCTTCTGTCGTATGGCTTGCGACCTCTTTTAAGTAAAAAAGCAGCACTTTACACTGCTCTCAAGTCTCATAGTCCCCGCTTAAAAACGCATCACTTAGAGCCTGTATCGACTCCTTCACCCACTTGCCGAGCTCCTTCTCCGCCGCCAGCCACCGCCTCATCGACAGCTGCACAAGCCGGTGCATCGCAACCGCCTGCTCCCCGATCTCGGTCCTCACCATAGAGAAGCTGACCAACGGCGCTAGAGCATCGTCGAAGTCTAGCTGGCTGGTCGTGCCTTGCAGCA